CAGCAAACTTTGGGATCTGGTCCACAAGTATGGGGTACATCATATGAATAAAATGGCATCATATGAGTAAACAAGTCAATAGTGCCAGCAGTATCTGTAAAAATAAAATAACAACAATCCATGACAATTATACAAATCGGTAATTTACACTTAGTGTCATTCAAGTAGTCCAGCATAACAGTTTTACCCCATGGTTGCCGCCACCTAAACTCAAGTTGTCGGTTTTTCGCCAAAACTTTCTTAACTGAGTAATGCACCCGCTGAATTAGAAGATTCTGAAGGCCAGATCTTTGAACAAGAAAAGCCATTGAGGAACTAAGGCCAAAGGGATCGATGGACCAGCTATTGCTGTAAAAATGAAGACAAAAGGACAGTCGAGCATTTTGCTAGGGTCAGGTTCTTTCATTTTAATAATCAATTTAAATTTTTTTAAAATTGATATACCGTGGTGTTACTCCAACATTTTTGAGTAGCCAAAGATGACCTTCAGTAAGTTGAGTCAAAATGTTGAAATAGTGAGAATTTGCCTCATCATTCATCACCCATCCAGCAGTGACAAACTCTAACTGACCACTCTGCACAAATCTAAACACAATTGCATAAGTCATCATATTTTTATGACAATGTTTTGCTTACTTGATCTCAGACGAACCTGGATAAACACATACCTTTTCACTCTACTCTTTTGTTCCTCGCTAGCTCCTTCCCACCACATAGCAAAGAATGATATCTCTGCCCAAATAAACTTTCTCCGGGAATCCTCATATAGTTTAGTAACCATATTGTTGAGGATATGCTTTGTTTGGGAAGCATAATAGTCTTCAAAGGTCTTGAGCCAACCTACAAGAGTTAGACATTTTAGCGTGTCTGGCATAAATCTACAATGATAATTGTAAACGCTCAAACAATTTCTTTTACCTGGGTCGTTGTGTGAGTGAGGTACAACAAAGACACGAAGTTTTCTTCTAGACGTCCATTGCTCAGGAGTGTAAGTTATTTTCCAACCTTGTTTCCATTCTCCACCATCCACATTGTCAAACTTTAACTGATTATACAGTTCATACATCTGGGACAGCAAAATAGATAAATGTCACAAGCACAAACAAGGAAAACAAAACAACATTGAAAACATTTGAGTGTCGATTGGGCAGATTTAACTATATTCGTCAACACACACCTGAATATCTGCATTAGGATTGTTGAGCGAAGGGCAGACCTCTGACTCAGAGAGCCAGTGAGCCGATTGCAAAGCCAAAGAAACATTTTGTGGGATATGAACAGCATTGCTCAACGTCTTTTCAACAACTATTCGTTCACTTCCTTCCACAGCGCTCCTCCTCAAATACTAAAAGAGGAAGGTATAGTTAGTATAGTAGTGTACATAGAGAAAAAGGAATTTTAAATTAAGGTTGATAAGAAGTATGGCTAACCTGTTGTTGAGATTGAGGTGATGTTGGATCATCGTGATGAGGCAGCATAGTCATTTCTATGATTAAATAAATCACAAAGCAACATCCTAGGAACAAGGCTGATGCAGCCAAGACAACTTTTCTCCGAACCCTTACTCTCATTTTGATTGGCACCGTAAATAGCCTGCAAAATAATGCGATATTAATGAACAAGAGAACTTGTAAAACATAAACATAACCTAATCGTAATCAACATAACTTCATAAGCATTGGGTGCCAGAAAAATATTGTCCGGGTGGAACAAAACAGGTTTCACCACATAATTAGAAACGAACAGAGCTTTTTTCAAAGATAGAAAAACCAATCAAAATTTCCCTTGAACTTGTACCTACCAGAAAACTCTTCGAGTAGCAGACGCCGATGTTTTGGTTAGGGTCTAATAGTCGCCTGCCCTGGCAAAGCCAGATACAGAAACGAGATCACATTTAAAATATAAAAAAAAATATCCTAAAATCTTGTGTATGAGGGGAGCTCAAGTTCTGTTTAACATTTTGGTATCACACAAACCAACAAAACCTCAAAAAGTCTTTGATTTTTGTTTTCACTTGTTTGTTTGGAAATTGAGTTGACTAAGGGCAGGATAGGAGAGCCGGTGCAGGCAGGACAATCCTCCCTTGAGCAAGAGGAAGTTGCAGGGGTATACGGTATACATGGGAGGGAAGAACACGAACAAACGATACAGTATAGACTTCAGAGTTGGGCAGAAAATAAATTGGAGAGAGACTCTGTCGGCGCATGGTTAATCTTTTCCGACCTTTTCCACACCAAGTAAATGTGTACGGTATACATCTCTGGGCACTTTGGTTTGAACCATGTTCTTAGCGGTCCTAGCGACGACGAGAGAGGGATCGGGTCGGAGGGTATGAAGGCTTCGAATTGAGGGGGTGGTTTTGTGGGAAAAGGGGGGGGGGCGTTCGCCTGTGCCCCTTTGACCCCCTACCTCCCCCGACCTGCCTCGCTCTGGGGGCCACCCCGGGGAAGATCGATGGAGCTGTGGGAAACAGCGGGGGGGTCGGCGAGGTGAGGGGGTTGTAGGGCCGGAGGGGGGAGAAAGCAGAGCAGAGCCCCCGAGCGCCGCGCTGCTGGCGGTGACTGGGCAGTGCTGCGTCGCGGCGCCAGGAGAGCAGAGAGGAGAGCCGCCCCCGCGCACCGCCGCGGCCAGGATGGTGAGTAGTGTGGCGAGGTGTCGGGGAGAGGCAGGGGAAATGTAGCGCGTGCCCAGCCCAGCCGCATGGTGGTGCGAATCAGAGCGGCCGGCTACCCACACGCTGGGCCGCACTCACCTGGCCGAGCGCAGCCCCGCCCGGACGGGGGTCTATTTCTGGGGGCGGGTTTGTATACAAGGGCAGCCAGCCGGGGCACTATCACTATTCGCGCGCTTGAACTGGGAAGGGTGTGTGTGTGGGGGGGAGGGGGGGCTTATGAGTGTTGGTCTGCTTCCAGCAGCGCTCAATGGGTTAGTCAGATCAACCCCTCTCGGAGAGGGGATGCGGGGAGCAAGAAGTATGGGGATGATGACACTGAGTACACTCACTCTGCTCTTCTTGTACCGTTCCAGTACGGGTTCGTGAACTATGCGCTGGAGCTGTTGGTTGTGCGGACCTTCGGCGAGGAGACATGGGAGACCATCAAGTGAGTATCGCCTGCCTTCCCCGGACCCATGGCCATGGCGCCGCAGAATGTGTTCTTGCCTACCCTCGGTCGGCTTGTGGCTGGTTTGTGGTTTGCCTACCTATCGGGCGACTGTAACTCCCCGCCCCCACGACTCACACTTTTTCTCTGTGTCTAGGAAAGCGGCCGAGGTGAACATGGACGGTCAGTTTTTACTCCGGGAGATCTACGAAGACGAAGTGACTTACAATTTGATCGGGGCGGCCGTGAGCTTACTGAGTAAGGGCTGGACGAGATGGTTCAGATCTTGGCTTTATGGCAATGCAAGGCACGCGAGTTTGTTTGTTCACTGGCCCACTTGTTGCAGAAATTCCCGCCGACAAAATCCTGGAGCTCTTCGGTAAAATGTTCTTTGAGTTCTGCCAAGAATCTGGCTATGACAAAATCCTCCAAGTCTTGGGAGCAACCCCTCGGGATTTCCTACAGGTAACGTGTAACGCGGACGTTCTGCCGCGACAGTGAAGGCGAAAAGGGCTCGTGAACTGTTTTAACCCGTCGTCTCTCCATCCCCTAGAACCTGGACGCCCTGCACGACCACCTGGGCACTCTGTACCCGGGCATGAAGGCGCCGTCCTTCAGGTGCACCGAGCGTCCAGAGGACGGCGCACTCGTGCTGCACTACTACTCGGACCGACCCGGCCTCGAGCACATCGTCATCGGCATCGTCAAGACCGTGGCCAGCAAGCTGCACAACACCGAGGTGGAGGTGGAGATCATCCGGACCAAGGCGGACTGCGACCACGTGCAGCTGCTCATCACCGAGCAGGCGGACCAGCGCAAGCCGGGCGACGGCAGCCAGCTCACCCAGGAGGTGGAGGAGCTGGGCAGCGGTAAG